TTAATTGCAAAATTAAATTTGGTACTTTTATCTTCTATTTTTGAAACATGGTTAGAACTGTGTAGCAGAAAAAACCATATTTTAAATCAATTAATTTTGTAATATTAATGCTCTGTAAATTTACATTGAGCACTATTTTGTAAAAATAAAAATATCTATAAGAACACCGGATTATATATCTTACTGTTCTTTCTTTTTATTTATATACGTATATATATATATATATATATATATATATGCACACACACACACACACACACAAGGTCATGCTGAAAAGTTCTTAAACTGGCCTACTTCCCAAAAAATATTATTCTGATGTTTGGATATTGAGATACTGATTTTAGATAGTAGGTTGTGCTGAGAAGTTTTCAGCACCCTTTCATATTATATACTTCAAGCTATAAACTATGCCAACTAATGATGAAAATGGACATTATCACTTGGCATGTTGTAGGTGTTAGTGGGATTCATAGGAAAGGAGAAAAATCTATTTCAGATGAAAGTAACCATCTATTTATTTTTTATGCCTAGAATTTGTAGTCAGTAGCAACATTATAGGCAACATAAAAACAGACAGTTGTTTCAGTAGTAATCATATATACAAAATATACCCTTTAAAGTAATACAAGTGTATGCACCTAAGTGGAAAATTTCAATAGCCATGAATTTCTGATATGTGCTGTTAATTGATGGCTGTAGATTAACAGCAACTGAAATTAAGATGAAAGAAATCAAAAGATACTAACAATTGACAATATTTCATGTAATACAAAAATTCAAGATAATATTATTAAAGCTTTAGATTGTCAAGAAATAATTTTATTTGTCACATTTTTCTAATTTTATTTAATTTTTTAAAATTAATATCCACTTATTTTTTTATCTCTGCTAAGAAAGCTGTAATTCCTGTCAAATCTGTGGCTGACAGATTTTGTTGTGAATATGCTTCCAAGAAGAATGGTTATTGATAATTAATATGGAAATTTCTTTTCATTATCATTTTCTGCCTGCATTTATTGATGGTGGGGGTCAAATTTCACTAGATGGTGAGAAGAGGATGATGTATGTTGACTTGAGAAGCTGTGAATCATGCAGCTAAAGTTGTCAATATGAAAGGAAACTATCAAGAGAGAAGGAAATTTGAAAAACCTGGAGCAAGTAAAATAACCAAACTCTCTGTATTTCTGGAATTAGGAATCATCGTGATTACACATTATTTCCCATGGGGGGAATAGCCCAATGTTGGTTCATGAATTTAGTGGGATTGTTCAATCTCTGGGCTGAGTAGTATGGACTTACTCAGCTATTTGCAATAACTAATCTTTACTAAAAAGAACAATACATGATATCCTTAGAAATGGACAGCTGAATGAGAACCATTTATATTGTAGATTAAATAAAGGGGTTCAATTTAAAATTCACTGAAGGTTACTTGGATTGACAGACTCCTGAAAAAGTCCAGATAGCACAGAGGCTGAAACATTGTGATAACAACAAAGATAGGGATATTAATCTGAATGTAAATAATCAAAAAAAAATGTTTAAGTGGGAAGTTTAATGTTATACTTAAATGCTTCTGCAGAAATGTCAGAGAGAAATAGTCATCATAAAATACTGCTCCTGAAATTCATTGAAGACTGGGAAGGTGGTTCATGCCTTGGAAAATACTGTTAAAATTTTTTTTGCATTTTGTAATAAATGGACAGTATGGTACTTAGAAAATGCATTAGGGTCTTAACCTTTTTTTAATGATGCTTTTGTTGCAGATGAAAATGACAAGTGAAGAAATCAATAATGGAGTCAGTTTGAAATGAGCAATTAGAATTTTCAAATTGTCATTAGGATGCAAATTAATTGTGTGAAACAGGCAACAGGAGTTTGAAAGCAAAATTTGTTTATAAATAGGAAAATATTTTATAAATATTCATTTGTTCTGTCCAGTTATGAGCAAGACTTGGATTAAAGTCATTTTGAATGCATTGTCCAGATATTCATGAGAGAATAGGATGTGGAAATTTTTATATATAACAACAATGTTAGGTAAATAATTGACAAAGTTGACAAAACTTGTGTGTAACATGTTTTGGCCTCTAGAAGGACCTCATTGGTAAATAATGTTTTTGTTGATGGAATTAGATATGTGTAGGAAGAGGAGATATGAAAATGCAATTATGCTCTGATAGGAAAATTTCTTCTGAAGATGTTGGAATGCTGAAATTTAACATTTTTAAATGATTAGGCATGTAGCCTCACCAATTCCATTCAGTTTCTTTGTGCTTTTGTTTTTATCACTTTTATTAGTAAGCATGCCACATTGTGATAATAGATCTGCTAAGAAAGGTAAAATGCTGTAAGAGATATACAATTGAATCTCAAGGATTTTATAATTTATATTAAATACTTGAACACACTAATTCAGAAACATAGCAAATTGAAGCAAACAATATAGATACCCAGCTCAGATTCTAATTGAGGGTTTATGAACACTTTTTCATCTTTTAACCTTTACAATGTTTAGAATAGTTTTACTGTGTGAAATATTAGCTATCATTCTTCTAATGAGAATAAATGAAAACTTAATTGAAATCCAATTTCTGTAATGATACAGTTAAAGCAAAATCAATCATTCAGTTACTTAACATGAATCATGTTTTGTCTGACTAATGTAGAGATTGTTTAGATGAAATAAAATCCTCTTTTTTTTAATGATACTAGTTACTTGGTGAAATGTGTCAAAATAGAGGTTCTTTCAAATTGTCTTGTATATTTACTATTCTGTTGGATTCTTACTGAACTTACTCATATATAGTTTTATACGTCTCTTAGTTTTTAAGAAAATCCTGGACATTTACATTAAAAATTAAGGTTAATTGCAGAAAAAATTACTAATGCAGATATTTCAATGTTTATTTATTTTGAAAGATTTGAAAATAACTTCATGAATTTTTTTTTTTTTTAAATTGGAATAAGTTTTGGAAAACTGTTTCATTAAAGTCCCGATTTAATTAAAAATTTCAGATTTTTGCTCTTATTCAGTTTCAAGGTTTGTGTTAAATGTTTCAATTTTGATTTAACTCTCTTAAAAGTTTAAATTTTATTAAAAAAACAGTCCATTATTTTATTTTTTCAACTCCAATACTATCATGAGTCTGATTTTCCCCTTTACATTATATCTTTTAATCCTGTTAAAAGTTTGCAACAGGCATTTGCTTACTGATACCTGATCATAAAGCCATGTAGTCAGTTTAAACCATCTTCACCAGTTTAGTTCTTTTTTTTATCAGTTGCTTGGGAAGCTTTTTCACAAATTTACCCCACTCTTTAAACTTGTGTACTTCCTTCATGCCTTGTGTACTCTTGACCTTTTCACCTAAAACAGAAAAGCATGCATGTGTCACTAATACCAAGATGGCTGTTGGATTTGTGTTATTTTTGTGGGATGCCTGATGTTTGAAGAGGTATGATGCCTGTGTCTATATGTAGGTCCTAATAAATGGTTTTGAAAATTTCCCCAGAAAATTCTGATTTCAGAATATATATGCTTTTATGTGGCTTACTCTTAGTTTTTGAGAAAAGCACTCACAGAAAACTCAAATTTACACCACAGCTTTCATTGATACAAGTTTGATTAGAGTTTTCTTTGTAGTTGACTTTTCATGTTTACATACAAGAAGGCAATATTTGGATTCTCCTTCTTGTTTTTATTTGTTGTGTCTCTTCATGACTTAGCACAAACTTATAAATAGCTTACTCAATATCTCTCTTTGTCAATATGTCCTGTGAGTGTCAAATTTGCTAAACCATCCATGTTTGGCTTCAGTGAATGTAAACATTATCTTTTGATAATTTACCAGTTGAAAGGCCTCAGTCACAAACATTAATTGGATGCAGATGTATGGTATGTAAATAAGAATGATAACTAAAAAAAAAAAAACTTTTTGCTATTTTTAATCAAACTTATACATGCATGTGTGCACACACACACATATATATACATATATATATATATATATGGAAGAGAGAGTGTTTGTTGCTAAAAGTTGCTAAAATAATGTCTCAAACATATTTTGATAGTGTTCCCACTGTCATTTGATGTGTCATGTCATTATTATTCCACATATGATATTACAGGCTGAAGATTACATTCTAGCATGAAACAGACTGTTGCTGCTCAGTGTTCACCTCAGTGTCCATTTTTATATTTACATATGCTTTTTCTGTCATATATTTAAAAACTTACAAAATCTAACATTTTTACTTTTATTTATAAATATTTGGTACAAAATAAAATCCCAACATTTACCTTGATAAAGTCAATCAGAGGACAAAACACATTGGCTAAAATTAGTTTTTCTTTTGTCTTTATTCATATTTTCCCTTCACTCATATATTTTTAGTTATATCTGAAAGTTTGCACACACACACACACACACACACACACATATATATATATATATATATATATATATATATATAATACACTACCTGTGCATGGAACTCACACACATTTTTAAGTGTATGATGATATTCTTTTATTTTCTTTAGTTTGCTTCAAATCTATACTTTCTAAAAGACTGGCTGATTTTAAAAATCTTTTTGAAATGAATAGCTTGATGAAATTGTTTTATTGTTTGTCACTTAACTTTCTCTAATTTCATATGTTATCTTTGATTCATGAACATTTTAGGGGCATATAAATTACTTGTTATAACCTTTTAGAGAGCAAAATGTTTGATGTTTGTATGTATTTGAAAATTTCATAGAAAAAATGCACTTTTTATATATTATTCTTTTTCTCATATATCAAAAGAATTATTTTGAATTATATTTGCAAAAGAAGATTGTATTTGAATTAATTATATTTGCAAAAGAAGATATTTGTTTACAAATGACTTGGTTTCAGTGGGTGGTTAAAACGGGGATTTTTATCATTAAACTAGCAGAAAAGTAGGAGAAAAGAAAGATTTTTTTCTGTTAAAATATTTTACCCAAAGACACAGATGTTCATAACTATCACATTACATTTACAGAAAGTAAACAAAAAAGGGGCATACAATACATGATTAAGTTCTACTAAATACAGCTGACCATTGTACACCTCGATTTAGGATTTCTTATTACTTCTCTCTCTACTACTTTATATTCTTTGGCTTTGTGAAAGTGTGACTGTGGCTTACAATTTCTTCAAGTCTGCCTCCACACCTCATCTTTTCTGTCCACCTTCCTCCCATGCTTCTTTTCTTTCTCATTCTGCCTCACCCAACCTGATTGACTCTTCAGATCTAATCAAACCTACAGAGCTGATATATAAACCCCAAATCAAGCCTTCTGTATACTGTAAGTAGCCAGATTATGGATGACCTATTAAATCCCAAATGGCCAAGTTGGTGAGTGGCTGGCTTTAGGCGGGTGCTTGGGGCAAGAGGGAGTTGGTCATCCAGTTTGTCATAGTCAGTCAGTCCGGCTCTGGCCAGAAACAGTATAAGGCAGAGGATTAATCTGTCAGAATATAAAACTTGCCTTATCAGATTGTCTGTGTCCATCTTGCAGTCTCTTGTACTGTTTCTAACAACCTCCCCAACCTAATGTTTTCCATTCATTATATTTCAACTGTCCACCATTATTATGACTCTCACTTATGATTTTTGATGGTTGATTCAGCCAGCCTTGTGGTGTTGGTGTTTTGGGGTGGGGGATAACTGGTAATGGAATTCATCGCATCGCACCATCCTATGTTCCCTGTTTCCATCATCCTTTTTCTTTCCTTTTCTTTTACTTTTTTTTTTCTCTTTAGAATTGCTGCCGGATGTAATTCTTTGGTGTCTGTTATTCTGTCATTTCTGCAGCTTTTGCTCTCTTTTGGATGACTGACAGACATTTTCATTTTTTTATGTGTAGAAATGCCAATTCTAAATGGGCTTGTGTAAGTATTTTAAAAGAAAATGATATTTGTGTTATCTTAATATCAGTGTTTTGTATTTTGGAAGATATAACTTGTATGAATTGCATTTTGTCAAATGGTTCTGTTATTCTTTTTTTCTTTCTTACTTTCTCAATATAATACGTTATATTTTATTGTATTTTTCATTGTCTAATCTTGTAAATGCAAGACAGGATAATATAGTCTTCAGAATATTATTTTGTATGAAAATAATGGTGAGTCAATGTCACTCAGTGATAAGTGCTTGCCTGTCATTTTCAATTAGTTATGGGCCACAATCACTTCATATGGGTTGAATGCTGGAGTTGGAATTAGAGTTGTCCATATCTAAAACTGCTTGCCAACTAAGGTTAAAGAGTCTTGTCTTGGGTGGGAGGAGATGGATTTCGTGTTTTTAAGGGTATTAGTGCAAAGTGAATGCAAACTGCTTTTGATGGAGTTTGAACTCATTTTACTGATTCCATTCTCTCTTTTATTAATCATTAGATCACCCTCATCTCCAATAATAAGCAGATGAAAAAAATGTCTTTTTTTAAGCACTCAAGGAACTTTTATTTGGGTTTTTAGTGAAAGCTCTTTGCATCATCCAAGATTGAAATTATTTAAAAAATTTTTCTTTGTGTTTATACATAAATTTTTTTAGTCTTTTCATCACTTAACGTTCCAAGAAGAAATTTCCCTACTGCTAATCTAGTTAAGGACACTACTACAGGTAGGTCTCATAATTTCACTACTGAAATTGTTAGTTGTAATGCTAAGTACTATGCTAATAGTTTCTTCTCCTGCACTTGTGCTTCCTTCTTTCCTATTAACTGTGATCTTCAAAAATTTAAATGCAATGTCAATTGCCATTTTCTGTCTCCTTGAATCCTGTTTTTTTATTGTTCTCTCTGTTTCTTTCACTCTCTGTAACACTTTACATCTTAGTGACTTTTATCACCTTGCTTAGCGTAAAATGATTTAAAAAAAAAAGGTAGTGTAGAAAGTCAACTTCTGATTCAGTGGAAGTAAAGAATAAGCAACACAGAGGCAAATAGATTAGTGAAAAGTAAGATCTGCCCTAAACATGGACTTAGAACAGTCTACCTCTGTGGATTGAATAAAGTATTTTGTTTGGAATTATGAAAGGTTAGTGAAAAGGCGGGGGGTAGAGGTACAGTGGTCAAAACATTATAAGTATAATATCAAAGGTTAGTGTATTAGTCTGAATGAAAAACATGTAATAATTAAATAACACATTTGAATTAGTTTCAAGAAACTTGTACTTCTTAGGAACAGATAAAGCAGAGAAGAGTTTCTGTAAACACATTTTGTATTTTGTCCAGCTTCTTACAGTACATGAAAGTTCTCAGCATTTTGGATTATCATTGAATTCTTTTTTATATTTTGGCAGTGTAAGTTAGCATTTCTCAAATTTGCAGTGATTCAAATCAAACATTTTTGTTTAAATAGAAGATATTTCTATCAATAGTATGACATATCTGCTAGGTTTGATCTGTGCGTTTTAAGATAGCCAGAATGTTGGTGCTTTTTCCTTTATAGTTTCAAAAGTGAGGAAAAACATTTGGTAGATCAGAAACTAATTTTTGTTTTATAATTTTTTTTACTTGGAACCTTAGTGTGAAAGGTGAAGTTAAAATAATTCAAAATGGCTCAAAATAGCTACAAAGGAAGTTGTGGAGATCCATAATCCATCATGCCCTGAAGGGACACTGCACATAGAAGAAGATAACTTTTTCTATTTCAAGACTTTTTTCTTTTAAATTGAGTTTAACAAAAATTAAATGAATATTGAAACTGGCTCCTGTTTGGTTAAAAGCCAAGAATTAAATTGTTTAACATGGCTTTTATGTTTGATTTTGTTCCTTGTTATGTTATAGTCATTGGCAAAATTAATTATCGATCTCACTCTTATTCATTATCAAACCACCAGTTTGCACCCACCTTTCCCACCCATTTAGATTCCTGAATAGCCACTGGTGCTTATCTCTCACCTGCAGGGTCCTTGACTTTCGTTAAAGTTAATTTTTGAGCTCATCTTGAAAGCAGACAAGAACAGAGAAGGGAAGAGAAAAGTGAGTGAAAGGAGTGTGGTGATGATGTGGTGTTGTGTTTTTATGCAACCTGCTTTAATCAACCAGTCAGGATTGTTGCTGCTAAAACTTTTAAGCCAATCAATTTAGAATCAATTTAAGCCAATCAATTCATGTGTTGGTTTGACTGATGGCTTTGTGGGCAAAAATAAACATCACTTGCAATGACTTACTGGTTCAACCACTTTGTCTACAGTGATTTATTTATGATTTTGTGAGGTGTATTTTTTTTTTATTCCAACACTACATTGATAATGAAATTGAGCCAAATTTAGTAATTTACTGATTCTTTACGGTATGAGTCTGCTAATAAGAAAATGTCAACTTTATACAAAATAAAAAAGTTTTTGCTTTTTTTTTTATGCAAAACATTTTTGAGTTTAATTTGACACCAAATATCATCCATTGTAATAAATATATTATTTAATATCCTTTTTGCATGATTTACAGTATATGATATTAGATCTTTTGTATATAAAATGTACAGGAATAGTCATCAATCCACTTGTTGCTCCCCTTTGACAATCTCCAAAAATGAAATTCAATCTTACCTGAAGGAAAATGGGTTAACCATGTGGTGAAATGAAACAATTTGAATAAATCATTCTCTCCATGTAAAAAAAAAAAAATGTTCTTCACCTCAATAACAATAATATGGTTCCTCCTCTTCTTGGCAAGTCCATACTTTATTTTTGAGGAACTCATGTAGATTAATGATAACAGCTGTAGATATCAAGAAATGAGAAGGTACTATTATGAGGAGGTACAGTCTGAAGAGCAGTGCCTAGGTTCTCAGCCCCATTTACTTTCTCAAATCTAACATCAGAATATCTTTTTTATTTTCTTCTTAATTATACTGAGAACATTTTGTATGTATTAGATACTCATCTATTATTGAAGCTTGTTATCCAGGAATACATTGGGAACAAGATTTTCCTTTTATAATTTCTTCAGGGTTCACAAACAGCCTGGAAAAGAAATGAATATCAGAGAATTGAAAAAAATAGTCACTTTTTTCTTTTTTATAGAAAAGCCAGGAAATTTTGGTCTCATGTCAAGGAAATCAGGGAATGCAGAATGTTATTTATGTGAAATGTTTTTGTTTTGATCAAATTAGTAAAAAATTGAATAAAAATGCTTGTTTCTTTGTTGATTCACCCTTTTAGCTCTAACCTGGAATAGCTGTATATTTTCTGAATTTCAGTGAAATCCAGTTTTTTTATTGACTACACTGGGCATGAACAGAAGGACTTGTCTGAATTTTGTTAGATCATGTCTTTTAATTATGGTATGTAGTTGTATCAATAGACTAGTTTACCCTTTGATGACATTTCAAAATATAACAGACACCTGACAACAACAAACAATAAGGAAATTGGTCTGAACCAACAACACAATTATTAAAACAGAAGGACATTTTGTTTTTGTTGCTGTACATATGAAAGCATACATGACCAATATAATGATATGAAATCACCGTTTAATTTGATTAAATGAAATATTTTTATTGTCAGTGAACATTATTATGACTACATTGTTCTGTGTAAAAAATTATAATTTTTACATTTTGTTAAAGTTTTCTTTCTTTTCTTCTCTCAGGTGAATGCAGAAAGTCGCCGTAACCAACTTATGCGAGATATGGCTCAACTGCGTTTACAGGTAAGTAACCATTACTTTCATCCTTCTACTTTGTATATCACTGTGTTCTTCCCTCTTTTTTCTTTATAAAATATGTATCATTTGAATTACTCTTAAGTAGACCATGTTATTCAGTATCTGTGTCCGAAACATTAGAGGAGTGATAATGAAGAAAAAATGAGTTTAGAGAAAAAGGAGGCAGGGCTCTCAACAGTCGATCATTGCTGTAGAAAGACAAGGTTTTTTTTTCCCATTCCTTCTGCTGTTGAAACTCTGAAATGATGTAAAATAAGAAAATATCAGTAAATATTCAAGTAAAAGAAGAGTTATATGCAATTTTTAGTCATTTGTCTCCAATATGACTCATTGTATTTGCTGGCCTTGAAGATGCATATTTTATAAGGGCTTTTTTAAATGAGGCAACTCTTGCTAACTCCTTTCTACTTTAGTGATTGGTTTTATGATGAATGTAGTCTAGTATTTGGTTAATTTTTTTTTTTTTTTTACCACAAATATAGGGTGTGATGGTTAAACTGTCACTATTTATACTTTTAATTTCATGCATGCACATTATTTGTTTTTGGTTTTGCCAACTGTACAGTACAGTAGGGTCAGTTGGGCACTGAGAAAAACAATTCACTCCACAAGAAATTTTGAAGTGGCATGCTGTACTGCTTGGCATTTGTACCGGAAGCTCTAATTTGAACATTTTAGAGTTTTTGGGTGTCAATTTGAGGACAGTGCAGAGGATTTGGAAAGAGTTAGATGAGTCTAATGGTGATTATGAAGGTGTTAGCCTCCATCCATCTTCTCACAGAACCTCAGACTCAACATGGAGGCCTACATCAAGTGCTTTGAGGAGTTAGTGCTGCCCTGGGTCAAGAGCATGGCTGCTAGAAGACCCTATGTCTGGCAACAGGACTCTGCACCATGCCACACAAGCAGGAGAACCCAGTCATTGCTGTCAGACAATTTTTGCAACCACATCACCCCTTACTTCTGACCACCTAACTCCCAGACTGCAAACCCATTGATAATTATGTGTGGTGTGCAGTTGAGTGAGAGACCAACAAAACTCCTTGTAATACCAAAGATGAATTGAAGTCAAGGATTGTGGTAGCATTTACCAACTGAAGAAAACTGTCCAGAAGAGTTGCAGGAGATTCATCTGAAGATCATGGTTGAAGCCAATGACAATTTTATTGTATAAATTTACTCTTTAGTATTTCAAGATATTTTTGTGTAATTTTGGTAGATATATTTGTTAAAATGAGATGTCAGTGTTATTTTCATTTTTGTGTAATTTAGATGGCAATTGATCCATCACACCCTGTATGGTATTTATCATGTAAATAGGGCAAGTTTGAGGACGTACAGTTAGTGTAATGGTTAGTGGCTTGGAATGAGAAATTAGCTATGGCAGCACTGTGTATTATAGCCATTGTTGGCAACCAGTCTAGGAGGAAGACAATTCTGAATTTGAATTAAAACTATTAATTTGTATTGGTTTCACAAAGTACACATATATATAGCAAATGTTTTCAAAATCTTGACTGATTTAACTGTATTGTGCGTATTTAATACCGTAATGAACTATGAGAATTTAGCTTTTACATTAACTGTGAAGAAAAAAGAGCTCAGCCAACATATTTCCACAAGCCGTTATATTAAAAGTCAAAGAGCTGTATGTGGCTTGTGAGCTGCGGTTTGGTCACCCCCTGGTCTACACCACACAAGCATTCATGTCACTAAAGGAAAGGCTGGAGAGCATCAGCTTACTAGCTTTTTGCTTGAAAAACTACTTGGTTCGCACCTAAAAATACAGGAAAATTTCAAGAGGGAGGCATAATTTTTATAGATTAGCATATATTACACACCCCTCACGCTCTCCCTTATCACACGGAAACACTGATTGTTGTATGATTAACGGAGTTAAGCAATGTCGAGATTGGTCAGTACCTTTCTGTAACTATTTTGGTAATTTGGGCAGAGTGGACATCATGTATAAAGTTTGCTTTCAGTCATTTCAGAAGAAGTGTAGGACACACACACACACACACACATATTCTTAGATATTAAATTTTAGTTGCCATTTCATTGAAAAAACTTGTATCATCATACACTTGGATCAATTTCATTGGTTGCTTTCAAAACCAGTGTGTTCCAAATGGGAAGGATGGGAAAGACGATCTTGAATCTAAACATAGGAGCCAAGCTATGTGTATGGTCTGAAATTGGATGACTAATTTCTCAAGTTCTAAATCGAAGATGATGATAAAGTTGGAGGTTGAAAAAGGATGCCCTTGTCATTTTTGGAAACCAGATTTGGGTGAATATACTTTTGATATGGTGGATTATGTCATGTAATATGCATTTGTTGTTAGCGGGTTAATGATCTGCTGGGCTATCATGATACCAAATACCATTCAGAAATACTTGCTTATTGAACTTGACTGTGACTGTCAAATAATGATTTAAATCCCCTTACTCTCAGCTGATTGTACATTAATTATCATTTATTAATACTTTTCTTATAGCTTTTTTGGTGATGAGTGGATTGGTTACCATTAAAAAAAATAAATCAAAAGCATGTTTAAAAAAAATGACAGTACTTTATGATTGCTATTTTTTCATAGCAGTTTTATTTTAATTTATTAAATTATTTATGTCTGAAAGAAAAAAAATAAATATATGCTTTTTTATTTTGCGTTGAAATGTATTTGCTTCCTTTGAGATATTTTCATAAAATTCATCTTGACTGTTCAGCTGTAATATTTGATTATATATTTTTTATGCATTTGTCCATCTAATAGGAAAACTAACCTTGATGAATTAATTGCCATCTTGGAAGTTAATCTTGTGTTTCTCATTGAAATATTTCTTACCTTCAATACTTCTTTTATTTTAAGAAGCAAAAGCAAATGTGAAAATAATTATTAATAAAGTAGCATAATCTTCTATATGCCATGTCCTTTCATGGCTCTCTGCAGGCTCTTTTCCATTTGGTAAGTCTCCTGTCCACTTCCATTCTGCCATCCATTCACACAAACTTGTCAGGTAGGTGGCCCCCTGCCTTCCCTTATCACTCTTGTTCTTGATATCCCCCATGAGGATTAAGTTCAACAAGCCCTCTTTCCTCATATATTCAAGAAATTTCGGCTGTCTCTTTCTGATTTTGAGTATGTTTTTTTTTTGTTACCATTTTTCTTTAATACACTCATTGCTTACTTACATGATCCATGCAATTCTCAGTATCCTCCTGTAGAACCACATTTTTGTTGCCTTCCATTTCTTCTGTGGAGAGATTTTTCAAAATTCACTGCCATACAAGAAGATTGATATCACATCACATTTCAACACTCTTTTCTTTGTTTCTAATGAATTTTTCCTGTTTCTTAGTACTTTTTTTTAGTTTTTTGGATGCATCTTTTGCTAATCCAATACATGTTCAGGTTTTGGCATTACATTTTCTATCCTCTGTTAAAACACTTCCCAGATATTTAAACTTTCATACTTGTTTGATGTTGATATCTTCAATTTGTAGTTCATGTCTTGGGTTTTTTTTTCTTGTTGATGACCATACTTCCAGTCTTCTTGCAGTTGATAGTTAGTCCTTTTTTCTGGCTTTCTTTTTGCAACTGCATCTCAGAGGTCCTGAAGCTTTCTTCTTGTGCCAGCCATCAACAAAGTGTCATCTGCATATCTTATGTTGTTTAGTTTAAGCCCACCAATAATAAATCCTGGTAGGGTCTCCGGCTCCCTTAAAATACCATTGCTGTAGAGGTTGATTACATATGGAGAAAAGACACATCCTTGTTTTATGGTCCTATCTATTTTTGTTTTCTTACCAATTCTTTTTTTATCCATATGCAGAGGGCTTAATATTTGTATAACCAGATCCCTGGCTGTAATTCCTAGACATAACTCCTACTTGTGCTGCTCATCAAATACAACACATCTGTCTAGGTTTTGAATATTATTGGCTGGGTGGGGGGGACACTTTGGTGATGGTGGCTTGTGTTGGTGTAATCAATTTTGCTGGTTCATTTATTTCATTGGAATTCATATATCATCAAGTGGATTTTGTTCATTGTGTTATCTACCAAAAATGAATGTGTTCAGCACAGTCCTTTATCTACCTTTGAGAGGGGGTATGACTTTGTTGATCTGGGCAACATTTCAAATGTATTGTTTTTTCACTGTTGGATGATCTTTGTGAAAATGGTGTAAATCTGGCATCAGAAGAAACAGCACTTCAAAATCACCAACAATTTAATTAAAAGTGAAATGTAAAAACACATAAAATACCTATGAAGCTGTTTCATCTCAATCACTCCTTTTCTACACTTGAGGCACTGCACTGAAGGCTGTCTATTTGTTAATACTGTTGATGCTAACATCTTAGCAGTGAATAACTTCTACAGTGGATTTTCTCTAATGCACCATGAAACTACTAGGTTTCTTTGCAATTGTTTGACCATGAGGCATGCGTGATGGAGATCTCTGGGTAACTCTAGTGAACTTTACAGATTTCTGCTCATGCACACTCCATTTATATAGACTTTGTTCTGGGGAATAGGCATGATTAATTATAGCTTCTTAAACAAATTTTTCTCCTTCTAATATCTCTACTTCTTCACTCAAAATTATTAAATCTCTCAATACCTCAAGTCACTAACCATTTCCATGTACTAGTATGACTCAATCAGGTCCACTGCCCTGTTACATTTGTATATGGATTGACATTTCTGCCTGGAATCATAGTGTAATGTCTGTGCACTTTGAAAAAAATTTTAAACTCCAAAGACAAATATTTATCTATTTATGTGTGTGTATGGATAAGTGATAATTAAGGAAATTATTTTGTCTCAGTTGCATCATTTGTCTGTTGTTCAAGGGAGTACCAAAATGTTTTCAGGCTCAGTTAAGAAAGAATTCCAAAATAAATTCTAATGTTTGGTCATTAAGTCAGTTTTTGAGAATTGACTCAAGCTGAGAATTTTTCAGCACCTCCTGCTCTC